GTTACTTGACCTGAAATCTCTGGAGAATGTGTCCTAGTGGAACCGAAACGAGTTGAATCTGATTCCCTACACCATCCTTCATTGCCAATGCATCCATTAGCTGCTGTTTATCATCTGTGTTTACAAATGTATTCTAATGCCGTGTTTCACTAAGCAGGAGACAGCTCCATTAAGGAATTACATGGCTTGTGCGAAAAGGTATAGCCAAACATGTGGATTTCCCATTTGGTCTTTTTCGAGATTCAAGAATATTTGCTCTATTATAGTTATAGGGCAGCTTGCCGGAGCATTTACTCAATATTTGTAGCTCATAGTGGCTTTCACGTGGCCCGACCTTGGATCAAGCTAGGAGTTTTTAAAAGAAAAATCCTGCTTCACATGGATTTATTATTACAACTTGCAAAAAAGACAGGGAGATAAATGATAATTCAAGCATTTAAATATCAGGAATGAACAAAGATGAACTTTGACACAAGTCCAACATGTGAGTGTCTTGCATATTGTTTGCTATTATAGTATTCTCTTTTATGGGCTTCTAAGTGATGTTTCTTTTTTTCATTTTGTGAACATTGTACCATCACTAATAAAAAAGAGTACGAGGATACTGACGCAGTGAGTTAACGTGAATAAACAAGGATACACTTGACTACACATTTAGAACTTAAACAAGCTTAATCCAGAAACTTAATTGTGAAATCTGAGAAAAAACTTAATAATGCATTGAATGGTCTCCAAAACGAAAATAATTTATATAAGGTGACAACTAACCCTAATAGCAATCTATAATAAAGGAAACAAAACTAAATCAATTAGAACAAGAAAATCCGAAATAAAATAGGAAAAATGTGCAAATACAAACAGCCCCGAAACACGCCAAACGGTAGATTTTACCTCGAAAATGCCTCCAACTGACTAATTTCGTCAACCGGCTCGAATAAGTTTTTCAACGATTCTTACAGGCTCTGTACTCTTCCGAATCAAAGTTTGGCCGTTTGAATGGACATATCATTTACCCTTTGGGCTTTACGCAGGACTTCTATGTTCAGCCCGCTCTATAAATTCATCTGCCAGACATTCTACGTCGAAACAGATTATTTGTTGCAATTTTGCAACCAAGGTTGATAGAAAAATTAAATGCTGCAGGCTCAGGTCATGATTAAATTGCAGAGCACCCACTCTGCCAATTTATTGATGGGTTGTTTCTTACAATTTCTCAAGCATGATAAATCCTATGTGAGCTGTGCCATGACAGCATGGTGGTGACAATGAACATCTCTTCTTTGAAGTTCCTGGAAAGGAAACAAAATCAGAATCAATCAAAGCACACCAACTGTTCACATGTTTAAGTCCAAGAAAAATATCTTATGGTTCTTGGAAAGAATAGAATGGTGGCAAAACTTTTGCAGCTGACTTCAATGAACTAGTGTGAACTAAAGCTTTATATTCGCTGGAAGTCCTTAAAGATACAGAATTTCTAATTATCATTTTTTGAATTTCTGCAAAATCTTTTGGAAATTCCTATAGTTTATTTTATTAACCTAAATAATATAGTAAGGAAGTCTGATGTATTAGTAAAATTTAATATAATACTACGTTACATTTGCAAGAGTGAGTAACAGATTATCTTACCATCATCATCATAATTCCTTCATCATCACATCTGAACTTGTGAAGGGATTCTTTATTTATTTATGATATGAAGCAAGCAATGGGAGGATGCACCAGAACCTTTTGCCCCAGCTAACTGTACGGCCGTTTCAGTTCACAGTATCAGTCACCGTTTGACCAGCTCACCTACTTGCGAGGGGTGAATACTGAATACCTCTCATCGTCCAGATTTTTACAAACCCATCAAGTCTCAGTATCATGACCCAGATCATCAAGACAGGGCCGGCCCAAGAGGTAGGTACGTGAGGCACCTGCGGCCCATAAAAATAAGGTCGAAAATGACCCAATTTTTTTTTAATATATTACAAAAATAAAAATAATGTATAATTTCTTATTCAAGCTGCCCAAGGGGCCTTAAAAAAAAAGCCTAAAAAACCTAAATTTATTATAAACAAAAAGTGAGCTCTATTTCTTTCGTAACATATAAGATTGAAAATTTTGAATTTTTATTCAGCATGATTATTTAGTATGAAATGTTATTTACTGTTAATATGCTTAGTAAATATTTACAATATAAAAATATGGACATTGTTGTCGTAATAGATCAATTGAAAGGTCTTGTTTTATTTTTTGAAAAATTTAAAGAAAATGGGTTTACATTTTCTATGATTTCTATTAAAGAAATTGCAAAGCAAATGAATATAAAATCAAAATTTTGTGAAAAACATACAATAAAGAGAAAAAAACAATTTGATGAGAATGAAAACGAAAAGATAAAATTGTTAGTTGAAGAATCTTTTAGAATAAATTATTTCACATATTTAGTTGATCATGTCATTTCCTCACTTCAAAGTTGGTTTCAATAATTTGAAATATATAATGATAATTTTAGTTTCTTTATAATATAGAAAAGTTAAAATTGTATGATGATGATAATTTGAGGAAAAAAAATTTAAATCTTGAAATTTTTTTAAAATACGACATGTTCTTTGATATTGATGGTTTAGATTTATATTTAGAATTAAAAGTTTTAATAGAAATTATAAACGTGAAAATTAAAATACAATACTAGATATTATAAAAAAAGATGAATTCTTTTTCAAAGGCATGGATAACTTATAGAATACTATTAACTATTCTTCTTATTATAGTTTTAGAAGTTTTTCAAAATTAAAGTTAATAAAATTTTATTTACGTTCAACAATATCACAAGAAATATTAGATAATTTATCTATATTATTGATAGAAAAAGAATAAAAGATTTGATTTTTAAACTTAAAATACAAAAATTTAATTAATGATTTTGTATTTAAAAAACAAAAAAAACAAAATAATTTAAATAATTTTTTTAATATATACTACTATAAAAGCAGACGGTAAGTACTGCCTAATCATTCATGACAAGTTATTGCCAACCTCATATCTGCATAAATACCTTAAAATGAGAGACATTATCGATATCTTTACAGTGCCAGTACGCAATTAACACTGTAACTGTCATGACAGACACTGTCGCTGTCGTAATAACGCTGTAACTGTCATCACAGGGCCAGCGGTCAATCGACGCTGTCGCTGTGGTGACAGTGCCAGTATGCAATTGATGTTGTAACTGTCATGACGGTGCCCAGAGTCACAAATTGACACTGTCGCTGTCGTAACAGTACCAGCAAGTATTTAACACTGTAACTGTCAGGACAGTTCCAGCAAAAAAATAATCACTGTCTCTGTCTTAACAGTGCCAGCAGATAATTATTCTGTAACTGTCATGACAGGGCCAGCGGCTAATCAACCCTGTCGCTGTGGCGACAGTGCCAGCACGTAAATTACTCTGTTACTGTCATGACAGCACTAGCGCGAAATACACACTGTCGCTGCTATAACAGCGCCAGTGTGAAATAGACTTTACCACTGTCATGAGAGCGCCAGCGCGGAATTGACGCTTGCTGTCTTGACAATGGTAGTGCGACTGTGCGAGAGAGGATAGGCGCTGCTGAACTGTAATCTCCGACGACTCTAGTAGTGAAACAGACACAAGATGAATCTGATTATCATTCTCATTCATTCGCCTGATCTCTCCCTTGATTGTTAGGATAATATCCCCCAATTAAGCAGGTTCCTATAATTTCTCCCTGCCTGAAATCAAACTTGTCCTCAGGGTTGAAAAGAAGGAAATTGATTTTGAATCATGCCCAAATCTTCTCATGTAACATCATCAGGGAAAGAGCTGGATCATTGTATGAGAACTTGAGTGACAGCATGGTGGTTGCGTTGTACCATCCTTCAATCCAAAATGGCTACTGGTTCAAGTTTAGTTTATCCTTCTTCAGTTACTGATGACAATTCTCTCTAGACAACAACATTATCACCCATATTTTTCTTCAATAAAGAAACGTGAAAAACCGGATGAATGCGTGAAGATGACGGCACTTCCAGTTTAGAGGCCACCTTCCCTACTCCATGAACAAATTGAAATGGACCAAAATACTGTGGTGCCAATTTTAAATTTCTTCGAAGCCGCAAATAAACCCTATCTCCCTCTTGAAACTCACGATCCGTATGGTGGTCATAAGCTAGCTGCTTCATTCGATGTTGAGCTTGCTGCAAATTTTCTTTCAGTACTTGAATCATCGATCGCATCTCGCTGCCTTAAGCCTTGATCAAGTTTTGCAATCGAGGAGTCACCTACAAGTAATGAATTTGAGAAGAAGGTGGCTTCCCATATAATACTTCATAAGGAGTGGTCTTAATGGCTGAATGATAAGTGGTATTATACCACCATTCCGCAAGTGCGAGCCATTTGGCCCATTGCTTGGGTTTGTCTACAGTCATGCACTGTAAGTAATTTTCAAGGCAGCGATTTACCACTTCTGTCTGGCCATCAGTTTGAGGATAGTATACAGAACTTAATTGAAGCTTAGTCCCTTGTAATCTGAAAAGTTCTTGCCAAAACCCACTAGTGAACCTCTTATCCCTGTCACTAACAATTGAAGCTGGCAACCTATGTAACTTAAAGATATTATTAAAAGATAATCTAGCTACACCAATGGCCATATAAGGATGTGATAATCGAAAGAAGTGAGCATATTTAGTGAATCTATCTACCACCACAAAGATAACTTCCTTCCTATAGGAATTTGGTTAACATTCAAAAAGTCCACTGATATATTTGTCCATACATGAGTCGGAATAAGCAATGGCTGCAATAAACCAGGTTGTGCTACAGTTTCTTATTTGTTTGGTTGGCACACGTCATACTCTAAACCCTAAACAAAATTTACTAAAATAATAAAACAGTAATAAAATGTTAAATCGTAGAGCAATATAGACATGTGTGATTATTACAGATTTTCGCAACACGAAGAATATGGTTGAACAATGTGTGATGACCTTATTTATGCCTTCAGCCATTCAACAAAATTCTTGAAATTATTGTAGGAGCTTCCACCTTCTTTGATGCTATTCAGCACCCTTTCCTTGAGATCCAAAACATTTGCTTTATACTTACTATTATCCAGGAGTTCTTCCAGTTTAGTTTTGATTTCTTCCCGTGTAATTATCCCACTTTCATCTTTGCTTAACCCCAATCCAATCCTCCAAATGTTACAGATGTAGTTTTCATTGTGCATCTGGTCACCGAAGTAAGGCCAACATAAGAACGGGACCCCATTGCTAATACCTTCCATAGTGGAGTTCCATCCGCAGTGACTTATGAAGCAGGCAATGGAAGGATGTGCCAAAACCTTCTGTTGAGGCGCCCAACTAACTATATGCCCTCGAGTTGCAATTCTGTCTTGAAATCCTTTCTGATAGGCATCATTTATTTTATCTGTAATATCAGGACGCACCACCAAAAGGAATGGTCTGTTGGAGAGTTCAAGTGCCATGCCTAATTCTTGGAACTGGGTTCTGTCAAGAAGAGTTGTACTGCCAAATGCAACATATATGACTGACTGTGGTTGCTGTTGATCAAGCCATTTCAAAAATTTATGTCCTCTTGCCAGAAGCTTCCTGCTGTGTCTCCCAATCGATTGCTTGCCAAAAGTGGGCCTATAGGAACACTTTTGGATCAAACTTAAATGTTGCAGGCTCAAGGTCATAAGTTGAATTGCAAAGCACCTTCACTGCTAGTTCTGATGATCGTTGTTTCTAACCAAATTTTGAAATAAGAGTTTCTGCATTTTTTTCTTTCCAAGTCTGATAATGCTATGTGTGCTGTTATGGTGACCGCATGGTTGGTGACAACTGAAACATCTCTTTCTTTGGAGTTCCTGGAAAGGAAATCAAATCACAATCAAGCATGGCTCTATCAATTGTTAACATCTTGTTTCAAGTCCAAACTATATTCATATTTTCAGTCATTGGATCGAGCAGAATGGTTGAAAAAGACTTGTAAGCCTACTTCAACTAGATGAAAGCTATAAACCCTTAATTAGTTTGACTTACATTGTTTATGATTCAGCTGGAATTTCAAAGAAGACACAGAACATAATAAAAATTCTTGGATTATAATCTAAAGCATATCATTCAAGCCCTTGTCTTTACATGCTTTATACCAAATCCTGTGTGATGCCTTAATTTTATGGTGTAGTACTGCTGTGTCAAGCAATCAGAAACTGTCGTTTTTCAGACCTACCCTGTATTGTGCCAAATCTCTTGTGAAATTCTTATGACTGCTATGATCTAGAACTATAACTATATTTTCAATTATGCATCAGTTTTTCTGTTGGATGAAATGATGTTTCATCTCTTGCATCATATCAAATTATACTGCTATTAACTTGCAAAAGTGACACATGATCTTACCATCTTCATCATATATTCCTCATCAATCAACTTTTCGATGCCAGATCTTAATACCATTTGTGTGGCTGAAGCACATAGAAGGCGGCTGGCTTGATTTCTTTCTCCACTGCAATTTCCATGGCCCATTTAAGAATGGGATCTGCCAGAATACAGGTGATCTTATCACCATCTGATGCATTAATCTTTTCGATCAGCTCTCCAACTTTTCTTGCGCATAAGCCATGAGACTACTTCTACAAGTTTCTCTGTTAATTGACCTGAAATCTCTGGAGATCGAGTCCTAGTGGAACCGATACAAGATGAATCTGATTCCCTACACCATCCTTCATTGCCAATGCATCCGTAACCTGCTTATGTTTATCATCTTGTTTACAAATGTAATTCTGATGCCGTGTTTCACCAAGCATTGGACAGCTCCATTAAAGGAATTACATGCCTTGTGCTGAAAAGGTATAACCAAAACATGTGGGTTTCCCATTTGGTTCAATCTTTTCCGGAGACTCAGATTACTGTTGCTCTATTATAGTTATAGGGCAATCTGCCTTATCATTTACTCAACAATTTCCATTTGGTTCAATCTTTTCCGGAGACTCAAGATTACTGTTGCTCTATTATAGTTAGGGCAATCTGCCTTACGTTTACTCAATAATGTAGCCTCATAGTGGCTTTCACGTGGGCCCGATCCTTGGAATCAAGCTAGGACTTTATTAAAAGAAAACCCTCCTTCACATGGGAATTTTTATTACAACTTGCTAAAAAAGACAGGGAGATAAATGACAATTCAAGCATTAAAATCAACCTTGTGAAGTATCTCTCATACTGTTTTGCTTTTCTAGTATGCTTTATATTTATGTACTTCTAAGTGATGCTTCTTGCTATATTTTGGAGCATTGTACAATCATTAATATAAATATTTACTACAAACAAAAAGAAAATATTATATTTAATAGTTTGTAATTACCTCATTCTCCTTCAGCCATTCAACAAAATGATTGAAATTGTTATAGGAGCTCCCATCTTCTTTGATGCTATTCATCACCCTTCCTTGAGATCAGAGCATTTGCTTTATACTTACCTTGTCCACAGTTCCTGCAGTTTGCTTTTAATTTCTTCACTTGTATTATCCCACTTCCATCTCGGTTGACCCCCATCCAATCCTCCAAATGTTACAGATGTAGTTTTCATTGTGCATCGGGTCACCGAAGTAGCCAACATAAGAACGGGACCCCATTGCTAATACCTTCCATGGTGGAGTTCCATCCGCAGTGACTTATGAAGCAGGCAATGAGGATGTGCCAAAACTTCTGTTGAGGCCCCAACTAACTATATGCCCTCGAGTTGCAATTCTGTCTTGAAATCCTTTCTGATAGGCATCATTTATTTTATCTTTAATATCAGGACGCACCACCAAGAGGAATGGTCTGTTGGAGAGTTCAAGTGCCATGGCTAATTCTTGAACTGGGTTCTGTCAAGAAAGTTGTACTGCCAATGCAACATATAGATACGACTGTGGTTGCTGTTGATCAAGCCATTTCAACAAGTTAAGTCCTCTTGCCAGAAGCTTCCTGCTGTTTCTCCCAATCGATTGCTTGCCAAAAGTGGGCCTATAGGTATGAACTTTGGATCAAACTCAAATACTGCAGGCTCAGGGTCATAAGTTGAATTGCAAAGCACCCATTCTGCCAATTCAATGATTGGCTGTTTCTCACCGAAGTTTGAAAGAGAGTTTCTGCAATTTCGTGTGCCAAGGCCCAAATGCTATGTGTGCTGTTTTCATGACTGGCATGGTTGGTGACAACTGAAACATCTCTTTCTTTGGAGTTCCTGAAAGGAAACCAAATCACAATCAAGAATGGCTCTATCAGCTGTTAACATCTTTGCCCTTGATTCCAAACTAATATTCATCTTGTATTCACTGCTTATTAACAAATCCTGTGTGATGTCTTAATTTATGTTTGGATCTACTGTGGCCAAGTTCATCTTGTGAAATTCCTCTAACTGCATATGATCTAGAACTATAAACATTTGTTTGTTTATATTTCAGTTATGCATTAATTTTCCCTTGGATGAAAATATCAGGAAGTTTCATCTATTGCATCCATCAAATTATACTGCTATAACTTACAAGAGTAAGTGACAGATGTCTTACCATCATTATCAATAATTCCGTCATCAATCAACTTTTGGTTGCGGGCTCTGAAGACCAGTTGTGTGGCTGAAGCACAATAGAAGGCGGCTCGCGCTTGATTCTTTCTCCATTGCAATTTCCATGCCCCCTTAAGAAGGGGATCTGCCAGAACACAGTGATTTTATCACCATCTGATGCATTAATCTGTTCCATCAGCTCCTCAACTTTTTCGGCATAACCCTTGAGACTACTTCAACAAGTTTCTCTGTTCCTTGACCTGAAATCTCTGGAGAATGTAGTCCTAGTGGAACCGAAACGAAGTTGAATCTGATTCCCTACACATCCTTCATTGCCAATGCTCATTAGCTGCTTATGTTTATCATCTGTGTTTACAAATGTAATTCTATGCCGTGTTTCACTAAGCATTGAGCAGCTCCATAAAGGAATTACATGGCCTTTGCTGGAAAGGTATAGCCAAAACATGGTGTTCCCATTTGGTTCTTTTCTGGAGATTCAAGAATACTTTGCTCTATTATAGTTATGGCAGCTGCCGGAGCATTTACTCAATATTTGTAGCTTCATAGTGCTTTCACGTGGGCCCGATCCTTGGAATCAAGCTAGGAGTTTATTAAAAAAATCCTGCTTCACTGTGAATTTATTATTACAACTTGCAAAAAAAGACATGGAGATAAATGATAATCCAGCATTTAAAATATCAGGAATGAAGACAGATGAACTTTGACACAAAGTCCAAACATGTGAAGTGTCTTGCATATTGTTTGCTATTATAGTATTCTTCTTTTATGGGTTCTTCTAAGTGATGTTTCTTTTTTCATTTTGTGAACATTGTACCATCACTAATAAAATAAATACGAGGATACTGACGCGTGAGTTAACGTGAATAACAGGATAACACTTGACTACACATTAGAACTATAAACAATTCTAATCCAAAACTTAATTGTGAAATCTGAAAAAAATCTTAATAATGCATTGATGGTCTCCAAAACGAAAATAAGTTTATATAGTGCCACTAACCCTATATACTCCTAATATAAAGGAACAAAAACTATCAATTAGAACAAGAAAATCCGAAATAATAGAAAAAATGTGCAAAAACTAAAACAGCCCCGAAACACACGCAAAACGGTAGATTTGACCTCGAAAATGACCTCCACTGACTAATTTCGTCACCGGCTCAAATAAGTTTTTCAACGATATCTTACAGGCTCTGTAACTCTTCCCGATCAAAGTTATGGCCGTTTGAATGAGGCATATTCATTTAAGCCCTTGGGCTTTACGCATGGACTTCTAATGTTCAGCCCGCTCTATAAATTCATCTGCCAGACATTCTACGTCAGAAACGATATTTGTTGCAGATTTTTGCAACCAGAAGTATGATAGAAAAATTAAATGCTGCAGGCTCAAGGTCATGAGTTAAATTGCAGAGCACCCACTCTGCCAAATTTATTGATGGGTTGTTTCTTACAATATTCTCAAGCAGATAATCCTATGTGAGCTGTGCTCATGACAGGCATGGTTGGTGACAACTGAAACATCTCTTTCTTTGAAGTTCCTGGAAAGAAATCAAAATCAAATCAATCAAAGCACTACCAACTGTTCACATGTTTAAGTCCAAAGAAAATATACTTATGGTTCTTGGAAAGAATAGAATGGTGGCAAAAGACTTTTGCAGCTGACTTCAATGAACTAGGTGGAAACTAAAGCCTTATAATTCCTGAAGTCCTTAAAGATACAGAATTTCTAATTTACATTTTTGAATTTCTGCAAAATCTTTTGGAAATTCCTATAGTTTATTTATTTAACCTAAATATATGATTAGGAAGTCTGGTATTGTAATTAATATAATTACTACATTTGCAAGAGTGAGAACAGATTTCTACATCATCATCATAATTCCTTCTCATCAAATTTTGGATGCTAGGTCTTTGGACCAGTTGTGTGGGCAGCCAATGGTTCGCCTGATTTTCTTCTCTTCTGCTATTTCCAGACCAAGTAAGAAGGGTCAGCCAGAACACAAGTGACTTTATCATTATCTGATGCATTAATTTCTGCCGGATGCTCCTGCTTAACTTTCTCTGCGTAATCCTTGAGACTGCTTCAAGAAGCTGTTCTGGTTGACTCTATAATATCTGGAGATTCCAGTCTCAGCGCAACCGAAACAAGATGAATCTGATTCCGTTTATCATCCTTCATCGCCATGCATCACAATCGCTTACGGTTATCATCTGTTTACATTGTAACTCTATGCCATGTTCCACTAATCTTTGTGACAGCTCCATAGGAGGATTAACATGGCCTTGTGATGGAAAAGGTATAGCCAAACATGAGGATTTCCCATGTTGGTTTTTCTTTTGCTCTGCAAATTCTTTTTCTGGAGGGTTATCACTTTCTTAGGGATAAATTAAAGAAAAAAAAAGCATATTTTGAAGATACTGTTACATTGTCCCCATTCATTCATCTTTACTGTACTTTTCACTCTGAGATTTACTTCATCTCTAAAATATGGGACCAAAGTTCTGTGGCTTCTCAAGATTTTATGTCAACTGTATAACAAACATTTTATATATGCTTTTGTAACTCAAGTTAGAAAAAATGACAAGAATTGAAAACATTTAATTTTGGTTGAAAATTGTAAACACCTTTTCTTGAACTAATTTAATAAATTCTGATGCAATCTCAAACCTGATATTAGAAGTTGTAGATGCACCAGGTACCTATTTGTTGTTTCTAAATGGCTTTCCCTTCTATCATATAAGCCTATTCAAGTCGGATTTTATTTTTTTTTTTAAAACTTTAAATAGTTTTTTTCGGCAGAATATGGCATTGCATAATAAGATTCAACAAATCTCAAGTTAGCCATGGCTACCATCCAGATTTATTATGTCTTGGTTTTTGTAAAGACAGAAAACCATAACAAAAACTTCCAACAGCTCCTTAACTGGGACACTAAATTATTTTCATCACTCC